TGGAGGGCCAGGGGGACCAGGGGGACCAGGAGGAGGACGTGGGGGACCTTGCATCCCACCTAAAAGAGAACACAAGGGACAAAACAGAAGCGCATGAGACAAAGACAAAGTTGCCTATATTAGCAGGTAGGTAGGTAGGTTTCCCCATCATTTTGAGTAGATCGAGAAAATAAAAGACTGGTTCAGCTTGAATGTGTAATTGACTTGGTTTGAAACAAAACAATGTAGCTCAACCAATTTGTCGGTCAAGCTCAAACTTTAATATCCCTTAGTAGCCTGTATTTTTCATGTTTTACTTACTAAGGCAGTTCAAAGCAGGAACAATGACACAGACAGATAAGGAAGAGCAAGCCATAGCTACAGGGAACAACACATGTCAAAAGGACATAAAATAATGCTGCAAATGAAATCAGAAGGCAACAGAACAGATGATGAGAAACACTTGTAGCACACTGTTTCAAGCAGGCTTTTTTTTTTTAACCGGAGGTCCTGCATTTAATGCTGGATTTTTCTCTCTCAACACTTAACTGAAAGGGTGCACTGCTATTATTTGCCAGCCCCAAGAGCTCAGCATGGCCAGAAACTGTATACACTGCAGTTAGCACACAGATTATTCCATGCAAGGGCCACTCATGAGATGTCATTAAAGGAGAGACTGCAAGGCTTTGTCATTAGACTTTTTTTTTTTTAATTTAATTCTCACGCAACTGCATGAAGGAATTTTATAGAAACAATTTAAAAGGGATGTGTTTTCTTGACATTGAGCCATTACACATCCTAAGAGAATTGTGAAGCAAAAGCAGTACAAAAGTACCTGTATGTATTCTAACCAGATTTAATACAAGTGTGAAAGAAGTTGAATTTGCTTTAGGTAGTATGAATGTAGTTCAGTGGGCAGAATGCAGGATGGTCTTCAGAAAACTGATTGGGAATTTTAGATCAAATCGATGTGCTTCTCTAAAATATTTGTGTGAACACAGAGTATCTACTCTGACCTCATGTAGGGCCAACAGTATTTGATGGAAACTGTCTATTAAGGGATTTAGAGAGTTTGGTGAGAAACTCAGCTGTTTTTGGGGCAGTCAACCAGACGGTTTCAATGGCACAACTCCTACCAACAAACAGCTGAGGGTTAGGATAAAAAGGCGATCGATCAAATCAATTAGATCAATCGAGGTGTTTCACCTCTGCCACGCCAGCTCCCGTTCCTGCCCCCCGGCGGGAAGGGATTGAAACTCATATCCATCAGAGGGCCATCTTGGTGTCTAATCAGATCTGGTCTCATCCCCGAGCCTAATGGGGAAGAAAGCAAACCAATCACAACTCTTCCCTTTATAAACTTCCCTCTACTAACTGAAGGCCTGTCACAGCCCAGCAGCACGGGGCACCAGCCACTAAGCGAAAGAAGAAATGTGAAAAAGGTGGGATGGAGGGAAAAAGACGCAAAAATGGAAAAAAGAGAAAAGCTGGTTACTCCATTCTCTCCCGCTACGCGTGTAAGACGGCCAATCCAATATTTGCGAGGAGCTTAAGGTTGGTAGCTTGCCAAGTAAAGCTTTGAGCAAATTGCTTGTCAAGGAATGGTGTTGGGAATTTCAGTGAGCAGAAAATTGCAGCCAGGGAAGGAGTATTTGTTCAACTGGAGGTAAAGAGGGACAAAGAAAAAACAAACCAGATGGGGAGGGAAACATGCAAAGACACATCCCTGCCAGGCGAGATTTAATGGGTGAAAGCTCCCTCACATTAAAACACACACTACAACAAACTATCCTTGGTTTCATGCGGGTGTGAGTAGTAGCAAAGCCTGGATTGTGCTAACAGACCAGCACTGCCAGACAGAAAGCAGAATTTTAATTAATCCAAGTTTTCCAGGCACTTGTCACACTATGATGATTATTTCAATCTGTTGCACTGCTATATTATTATTAAAAAAATAATCACCACATGAATGACAAAAGCCTAAAAACAAAAATAATTATATATAAAAACTATACCATGTCTAAATCAGGAATCCATTAACACATAAACCTCAAAAGGTGATAGAGCATGACCACCGCCAGAAGTGATTAAACTTATCCATACACATCACAGATTACACATGCTGTCGTGAGCCAACTGTGTGATTCATGATGTGTATTCTCAATGCATCCATCCATGAATTCCTTTCTAGTGCTGAGCTGAAAATTATTTAATCTATTTAAATGAGAATGGAAATAGAAATCAGCTGGGGTTCCAGTGATTTTCTATCTTTTCTGCCATGAACTCACCTTGTTTGGTACAGAAAAATCAATGTAACATTAAACAAGGTCCAATAACTGGACCCCCACTCCTCCAATAACTTGTACTGACTGACTTCTGCACTTTTAAAATATTATATTTCAACTGAGTGAACTGATACGGGCTTTGTCTCTATCACACTGCCACAAACTAACCAGGAAAGTGTGGTGGCGGCCCGCCAGGCCCAACGGGCCCAGGGAAGCGGTCTCCTCCAGGACCGGGTGGTCCAGGGAATCTGCCTCTACCTCGACCCATGGGGAAACCTCCACGAGGGCCAGCGCCAGGGGGACCAGCTTTACCTTCTCCAGACATCTGGCCTGACTGGGTACCTGTGAAATGATGAGACAACAGTTTTCCATTTAATATGTAATAAATAATAAATGTGTGCGGAGTACAGTATAAAATATACTGATGCCAAGGGTGCACTTTTTTAAACTTACTTTTGCGTGACTGCATCTCAAACTGGCTGAGGGACTGTTTGTTGCATGGTGTGACGATGGGATTCTGACCATGGAGCTCCCTCTTTGACAGCAGCTCCATTAACTTCCTGGATGATGCTTCTGAGCCCACGCACACCAACGCAAACCTGTAAGATAAAGGCAGAAGATACACAATCAGATTAAAGCAAAAATAAATAAATAAATAAATAAAACCAGTGTGACCTGTTGTTCACCCGTGACTTGTGTAAATCAAAGATAAAAAAAAAAAAATCTGCTTCAATCTTAAGCTGACAAAAACCAAATGCTAAACTCATACATATATCTTTTGGTTTCAATAATAAATAATAAAAAGCAGAATGACCAGATATGTGGAAAATTGCCCAATCCAACATAGGATTCCACTTACTACTTTCAATGTGTACCAGGAAGTAATCATCATAAGTTGTAGCAGGCTCTAATTTAGTCCCATCATGTCACAGACAGATAATAAAGACCTCACCCTTTTGACTGGCCGTTGGCTCTGTTTTCAAAGAACTTGATCTCCAGCACATCTGTGATGCCTACTGACCGGATGGCTTCTGTCAGGTCCTCATCTGTCGTCCACTGCGTAAGAGAAGACACCATCATCATAATAATCATACCAACACGCTTAATTTGATTGTTTTATTATCATTTGCAGATAAATCTGTGGGTCAAGACTGTCTTCAACACCTTTACTTGAAAGGGACAATGTGTAGTATTTTA